TGCAGTGCATATGGGAAACAGGAGACTGAAAAGTTTCTTTACTTATGAAAGTTTTTTTTTTTTTTTTTTTTTTTTTTTTTTAAGTTTAAAAAATAATTACAAGTCATTTATTTTTCTGCTAGTTCTAACACATTTTTGAGTTCATTTCCTATAAAACTTTTAAGGCTGTTTGTTCGTAAGTATCCATTAAGTTTGGGCTATCATTTCCTGGTAACCTTCAAATTATTTCAAAATATACATTTTTTTTTTCATTTAAGTTAGCTCCTATAAAACTTTTAAAACATTCTTAAAAAGAAAACTAAGAGAGGAAGTATATGACTTTGATGAGCGTCTTAGCGCACATAATTGAAAAACACTTTGCATAATAAATTCCCATTTATGGAGTTAAATATTTATGAAATGATTTACTTTGAAATGAAAGTGTTTTTGATTTGGAATAAAATTTAAAAAGTGATTTTAGCAAACGTATTGAACTATGTTATGTGACATTACCAACAGAAATCGTTTTACTTAGAGAAGGTAAAATAATATGTAAATTTCTCAAGTATAAATTTGTTTGCGCTTTTATCTTTTTTCGGGTGGCCATAGATTCCTGTAGTTATAGCAGACACTGCAAAAAAATAATTACAAGTTCTTATAATAATAGAAACCTTCTAGAACTTGTTATTTATTTATTGCGTTACATTTAACTTTTCGTTTAACAATACAAGTCGGTAATCTCCACAATAGTTTTTTATTTCATGTGTGTGTATGGTCAATTAAGTTCTTACATAGCTGTTGTTGCCTTTTTGAATACTCTGTCTATGATTATTATTGTTGTTAAACATTCTTTCCGAAGCAGTATCGCAGTTAATTCTCTTTTTATGTAAATGTAATTAAGTACATCGGTCTTTAGTGGGATGAAAATGCAAAATTTCAGAATGTCATTCTCTTCAAAGTGCAGAAAAAAGGCTGAAGATAAATATTTTTGGTCTCTGAATGTTGGTTTCTTGGCACATACACACTTGTTGCGGCAAAACAGTTTTGCAGGTTCCTAAAGAATTTAGACATTATGAAAGGTTACCCATGGAAATTAAGCAATTAGTATGAGGGAAGGGGGTTAATATAAGAGTGTCGAATGGGTGTTATATTGAACAATAATCTTAAGTAAATTAATTCAAGTCGTCAGTGCCTTTCTCTATCAATGGGCAGGTATTAAATCAAGATGAGAATTTTAGGCGCCTAAGTGTTGGTTTCTTGTCAAATATAGTTTTATTGAGGCAAAATAGTTTTGCAGTCTTACGAAGTAGCAGTAAATTTCCAGGTAATAAAACTGGCTAAATGTCATAAAATCGCTTCGCGTGATAATTTAGTAAAGAATATGGCGTAATAGGAAGCAGTTATCTAATTTACATTGCGCTGGGTTATAACTGTGAATAAGTAATTTCAATTCTATACCTGTCAGCAAAATTAAGTTACTTTGTTCTGAAATGTTCTACTTTTCCGAAGATATTTTACATATTAGAAGCTTTAACATTAAATAAACTGATTAATACAAATCTGAAAGGATTCAGATTTTCACATCGCATCAAGGATTTGTTAAGATATTTTATGCTCTCGCTGAGCCCGTAGTTCACCTATTTGTTCTTGGTAAACTACGAGCTAATCTAACTTTTTCTTTTTTCCCCCTTTTTTTTAAGCCCAAAAGGACAGTACACCCAAAGGACTATTAGTTTCAAAACGGCATTTTGCGTTGTTTCACGTTCTGCGTTGGTTCACTTTTCAAACTGTTGCCACCAAATATTATCGCTATGTCTTATATTTAAAGAAACTAAAAATGAAGAATCTGGATGAGTGCATGAATGTTTCTCGCACTGTGAAAAAACGGTACCTAGAGCCATCCAATTTTGAATAACGTAGTCTTCCAACCCGAACACGGGCATTTGGAAGTCCGAATTTTGAATTTCGAATTTGTTTTATTATCTATTTCATACTTTGTAAAACTTTAACGAATTTTTTGTTTAACAAACTCAACTATTTCAAAGCGAGCAGGGGCAACACTGTACGGGAAAAAACACTTTTATCTCCAGCGCACGAGACTGTGTATCAAAAATTCTCAAGATATGTTGTTTTTTCCGTTTTTAAATATTTTGTAATGTTGCGGTTGAATTGAATTTTATGTGGTTTAAATGCGAAGAACATAATATTTAATAAATGAGCGTAATATAAAATCTGAAAGCCTTCAGATTTTTTTTAACTTTATTATTAAACATCATTTCCTTGTACTCACGTTGCATACAATTCAACTGGAAGATCACAAGGGTTTTAACAGTAGCATATATTTAGATCTAGCTGGAGTGTCCGGCGTTACGTGACATTAGGCAGAGTGCAGAGGCTTCATTTGGAGAATAGGGATAGTGTCTTCGAAATCTTGGGTAGATTAAGATTTTCTTGTTATTTTGGTTCAAAGTGAATTGTTTAAAATTTTATCAAGTGTAGAGTTAACGTGGCACCATATAACGGTTTTAGCGAGAACTGGCACTTGTTTTGTTATCGGTTGTTAATGCGGCATCGTACAGCGAATATAGTAAGAACTGGCAATTGTTTTGTTATCGATTATTTCTTTTTTTTTTTTCGAAAATAGGATTTTTGAAAATCGCTATTTACTTTGGTTGACTTTAAACAGTGAAACCGTTTTCGAAATATTCGCAGAACACTGATAGAGAACCCCTTAAATTCTGATTTAAAGGCTCTATATTATTATTGCAAGTTCATAGTTTCTAAACAGGGAATTAACATAGCGCTGTTTAACGTTTTTAATACGAACTGTTAGCGGGAACGCAACAACGGTGACGTGAGCCTAAATTGTGTGACTTGATTTCAAAATTGAAACTATGTAGAAATATTAACACATATTTTTTTAATTATAAACTCCTTTCTTAGCATGTATGATTTCCGTTGACTGAGGGAACGCAACAGCACCGCCGTGAACCTAAGATGGGTGTCGGGAACGCAACGTTCCTATATAAAACCCCTGAGTATGGATCTCGTGGGGAGTTTTTTGGAAGTCTTATGTAAACAGTAACCTTTCTTTTGTTTTGAAATCAAATGTGCAAAATTTCATTAAGATAAAAATAAAAGTGTAGATTTATGTGAATCACACATATACTTACACAAACAAAGGGCGTCTTTCTTTATGTACAAAGCCTTATCTCAAATATATAATTAAATACATAATACATTTTAAATAATAAAATGAATCTGCGTTTATTGCTTTAAAATCGCTTAGTTTATTAACTAGTAACAGAATAAATTAGACAGAAAAATTTAATAATTTTTACGCTTTCCTGAACAACAAAACGCTACCGCGTGAAAGATAAAAGTATTTTAATTCGAGTAGAGTCAATACATTTCTTTTAAATCGCTTAGTTCATTTATTAAATTCGAAAAACAGATATATTGGTATTGGCAATACACTTCTTTTATTTCGCCGAGTTTTCTGATTACATTTGAAATATCAATAATTTACTCTTTGCAGAGTAGCAATGCAAAGCTTTAGCGATGACAGATGGCATACCTTTTTACCTCGTTATGTTAGAGATTTCCGATAGAATTAAGTGTTGCTGTACATGTTTTTGTATAATTTTCAGTCTTTTATCAGCTCATCATATCGATGTTTACCGGTGTTCAGTTTTCTTATTAATATGAATTAGACAATTTTCTTTTCCTTATCATATTAACGTTTATGTGATAACTTTATCTATTAAATTCTTCTTGCATGCTTACGCCACATAAAATTCAATAGCAAAATCACAAAATGTTTAAAAACTGTATATCTTTAGAATTTCCCGTAGAAGTGCTGCCACATATTTTTTATATTCCCTATACAAATAATACATAACATTTGGTGGCAACATCTTTTTATTTGAAACGTGATTCGGAACTAAAAATGAATTACGAAGAAGATCGAGACTAATAGCATCTATGGTTGTAATAAATTGATTTTAGTTTAATATAATAATGATACTTCATATAAAAGGACAGTTTTAGTGTAAAATATTCTTTTAAATAAATTAACTAATGGTGACATTTAGTTCTCGTTAAGTATTGGAAGTAAGATGAGACACTTTCTGAATTTCATTTTTTTTTTTCAGTCGATTTTTCGGTTAAAAAAAAACATAAAAAAGAAATAAGTAATCAAAATAAAGCAGACAATTCACCTAAGTACGGAAACATTGCGCATATAACTTTTTTAATATTCTTAAAACTCAAAACTAAAATACAGTGATGCCAAAGCATGAAAATAACTTTTAAGGAAAAATTACATTCACACAAGCATTGAGTTACTCATGACACAAAAGTTTGCATCACTTAGTTTCGAGTCAGCTTATCTTTATGCAGTTTTTCATATCAGCACATAGACTTTCTGTCTCTTTTTATTAATTTATTTAATATGCAGTTTAAATTAATTATTGAAATAGCTGTTATTTTGTTTAATTCTCGGCTAAGATTCAAAATTTATGTCGCTTAATGTCAGATTTATGTATTTTATTTATGCTTAGTTTTTTCAAAGCAGTTTCTGTTTGTTTTATTCGTTAATTAACTTACTGGTTTTATATTTTATAAAACTTTAACGAATTTTTGATTAACAAATTCAACGATTTAAAAGCGAGCATTTGGCAACACTCTACGGGGGGGAAAAAAACCCTTTTTATCTCGAGCGCGCGGAACTGCGTATCGCAAATTCTAAAGATAGGCTCATTTTAAAATTATTTTGCGACACTGCTGTTGAACTGAATTTTATGGCTTAAGTGCAAAGATCATGATATTTAATAAATAAAGATAACACACAAAACGTTAAAAAAAGTCACTTTGGACGTAATTTAAAATCTGTAAGCTTTCAGATTTTTTTATATGTTTGTCGTAATTTTTGTTAAATTTATATGATTATTCAATGTTGCAATCTCTATTTTTTGCTCTTCCTTAATATTTCATTTTTTTGTTCTGTAATATTAGGTTTTGGGTTCGTAACATTTGAAAATGAAGACGTCGTTGACAAGGTCTGTGAAATCCATTTTCACGAAATCAATAATAAAATGGTAAGTTTGTATTTACATTCTTATCCCTTATTATGAATGATGTATTTGATATTTTTTTAAAAACTGTGTACACTTCGCTTTTTTCAAAAGAAAGCAAAAAAGAATGGCACTAGAATTTTATATTTATCAAACTTAATGCTTCCCTAAAAAGAAATTTGTTAAAAGTTAATCGTAATTTTTTTCCGTAAGTCTATTTCATTAATTCAGAAAATCCATTATTTTTCTAGCCCAAAAAGGCTATCATTCTCCAAATATGATTTTGAGTTGTTTCAGATAAATGCATTTTTTTTTTTTTTTTTTTTTTTTTTTTTTTTTTTCATTCCAGTCTTTTCCCATTTGGGAAAACGCATCCTTTCGTATTTGATCTGTCTGTTATTAATTAAAAAATTAAACTAATTTAAAAGCAGTAGTTGCAGTTCTTAAGAATTTTATGTTTTTATATGTTAATCTGATAGGCATTCAATTCATGATATATCTAATAAAAAACCTTTAAATATTTTAATAGAATATTACGTATTTTTTCACTTTTTTAATATACAGAAGATATGTAATGTTCTCATGTTAGTCTAAATGTATATTCATCTAATATTCTATAAAATGTTCCGCTATTTCACATGGGCCATCTGTATCGGTAATCTCTACTGAAAAATCATATTAAATTTTATAAGAGCCCTTGTGGGCAATCTTTGAAATAAACCATTTTCACATTTATTTTTTATAGTTTTTTCCTTCTGCTAAGATTATTTGGTGCTTCTTTGATAGACGGATTGCACGGAATTTCAGCGATTTACTTTGGCGCAATTGTTGGCACGGTTTTTTTACAATCGTCAGCCATCTTGAAAAACGCCGTTTTGACGTATTTTACGCATAGTAAAGTATTCGAAACTTTAAAAAAATAAATATCGTTAAAAATAATGGATTCATTTTTTGTCGAAAACGTCGTTTTTTAAGATGGCAGGCAAATGTAAATAAACACATTTACTACGAGTATAAAATATTAAAGTAAGGTTAAATTATTACTTTCATGTAGCAAAGAAATAGAATACAAGCACCGCTATAAAAACAGCAACAAACTATTTATAAATAAATCTTGATTAGGAAAGGGACATATTAGGAAAGCCAGGCCGGCCAAAATAAGGTCTCGAAGGACAGTTTTTTTGATTCCGGTACCAATAATTCTTGGTACTTACCAATAACAACATTCATCTTTGAAAGGGACATAACCGTTCGCCATGAAATCTAAGGAATTCAAAGAGATGAATAATAAAATTTTAAAATGGCGCGGTAATTCACAAATATTCAGTAACCAATCAGGGAGCTGATCACAGCTCATTAATGCACACATATTCTGTAACCAATCAGGGAGCTGATTACATCACGACAAGAATTAAATTTTTAAATAATCATACATAATAAAATCCTTTTTTAAAAAAATGCAAAATTAAATTGCATTTTAATATTTAACAGCCATAAATAATGTTTAAAAAATTAGACTAAATTTATAGATATTAAAAACAACTACTTTTAAAGTAAGGTTACGTCTACATCATCCATAACATAAAATTATATAAAATATCATAAACAATAAAACTTTTATTTCAAATAAAAATGCAAAATTAAATTGATTTTTAATATTTAGAAGCCATAAACAATATCTAAAACACGGAATTTATGCTTAATAAACGCATTATTTTTTAAATAAAATGACGCCAAAAAAATCTCCAAAATCCGTGCAACCAAAGTAGCACTGATTATTTTCATTCAATTTCTTTCTCAATCAGACGAGTTCGAATATTATCTACGTATCAATCCGTTGAAAATATTTAATATGTATTCTTTAATAAATCAAGCGTCAGTATTTTTGAAACATTGTTTTTGCTAAACTATGTACAACAATTTCAAAACATTAGCTATCATTTTTCATTGGTACGCTGCTAAAGAGTGTCCTGGTTAAGAATGAAACAACTGCATTGGTTACGTATTAAGCCAATTAAAAAGAAGTATTCAGGTGTTTGAATTTCTATGGCAACAATAGTTAATGCCCTTCAAATTAATAATTCAGTTTCAATAAATTGTTAGAAATGTTTATGAAATAGCATTTTACTTAATAGAAGTTTTCAAGAACAAAAAACATGGTGTGATTGTTATGCGTAAAAAAGTTAATTTTCTCTGTATAAGCATCGCAAAAATAATCAAAGTCAATACTTTATCTAGTTTAAAATGTATAAAGAGCATGGACATACTGATATCAATTAAAATTTTGGAAAAGTGTTCTGAAGAAAAAAAAAAAAAGAGATGTGTCATTAAATTGATAATGAAATTCGCCGAGAAGCCTGAAATTTCTATCTTTGAAGTTGCTTGGAGACTGATGATACATAGAGTAACTTAAAGGCCGACCGTCATTAGACATCACTTTATACATACTTCACAGTAAGATGTTTTTTTATTGCACTTTCGGTTTTTTCGTTGACCGTGAAAGAAAAGGCAGAAATGGGAATCATTCTTACATACTACATCGAGAAAGGCTGAAATGGCCCATTTTCAAAAAAGCCTGAAATGGGACATAACTGATTGAGATATTACAAGAGATGTAAACCCCCTTCTTGTTTTTTATGATCTTTTTACGCTCCTTTATGTTTAGGTTTCACTTTTTTCATTCATCTGCATTAGCTACATTTTCTCTACAGTGTTTTTATTTTTAATTTTTTTCTTATTTTTATATATTATTTTTGCTGTTTCAGTGTAATTTAAATTCAAAATTAAGACTAGATTTTTAAAATTATTATTTTTCTATTTACTGCTAAATAGCTGCAGCTTTCTGCGCATTATTTGGTTGCCGGTATTTCAAAGCTTTTTTAATACATTTTAGTATCAAAGCAATTTTAGTATATTTGGTTTGTAATGTCCATCGAATGAAGGTATGCGCTTTTTACATTAACTTCAAAATGTTTTCACACTATTTTGGCACACAATATACGCCATGTTACAATAAAAGCATTTTAAAAACCAGGTACTTGTACATTAAGCTTGTATTTTTAACGAATACAAGCTTATGCTGGAAAGCTCCAAATTTCAATATTCTTCTTATTCAATAAAAACATTCTCTATTATTTTAGTCACATGTATGCTCAAAAATTTATTCGGGCTATAAATAAGGCTTTACTGCCCTGGTTTAACAATTTTTTACGAAGTCCTCTTTGTTATTCAAGACTAGCAGTTGAACCCTTTCACCTTTTTGGTCATAAATTTCAGTTTGCTATTTGGACATGCAAAAAAATGTTTTGACTTTATTTTTATCTCAGTATAGCCATCTGTGATTTATGAAATTTTGTATATATCAAAATTTATATATAGCAAAATCTGTAAACAATACTATGTAAATTTTGATTAAATCAGTGTAATCGTGATTTATTGAAACTATTTGAAGCAGACATTTTGGTATGTTGAAATATGTTATATTTCAGTGTTTAAAATATATTAAAATATATTATCTCAAGATAATATATTTCAGTGTTTGAAATATATTAAAATATATTATATCATGATAATATATTTCAGTGTTTGAAATATATTAAAATATATTATCTCATGATAATATATTTCAGTGTTTGAAATATGTTAAGATATATTATCTCATGATAATAATATTCTGCAAATATTGAGGGTTTTTTTTTTTTTTTTTTTTTTTTTTTTGCCAAAATGAGTATTCCGAATTATACACAGTACGTGTACGAGGTTAACAAATTCCTTCAGTTCAACATGTTATTTTAGCCAACATTCAATTACATAGCTTTGTGAATTCTTAGGTTGCACGTTCACGAGTATTAGTACAAGTATCTGTCCAAATGGGATCTTAAAAAAATCCAAATTGGGACTTCCAATCTGCGAATCAGTTTGTCTATCCGAATTATTTTTATAAAAACCTTCAATTTACAAACGAATTTTGCATCTGAATTTGGTTTATATGTAACTTGCTACGCAGCTCTTTCATCCGAATTACATTGTAGGGATTATTATAATTTTTAAATGCTTTTCTTTAGGTTCTTGTTTTCCACCTAAAATTCCCTGCCAGAATGAGATTTCAGTATAGCGTTTTATGTAAATGAAGTAGAACCAGTCATTATTGGGAAGTAGAAGAGCTCGGAAGTTCTCAGTAGAGCGTGTTCTGCCTTCGGATTAAGTCGTTGCTTTAAGCTATCTTATTAAGTACGGCTGTAGTCTTACGTGCCTGTTAGTATTCGCCTGTGACGTTTAATTATGGGCCAACTCGGTTAGTTATTTTTGTACAGCTTCGATTAAAGTGTAGCTAGTTAGAATTAGTTTAGTTTCTTATTCTGTGTCTTAAGTTAAAGCCTCAGCGGAGGCATTCTTGTAAGCCCGAGAAAGGGCTGTCTGTGAATGTTTCTTTAAGTTAATAAAACTGTGTTTTAACTCTTCTTTTGGACTTATAATTTATAGTTGTAGAAAGACCTGCGAATAGTCCCTAGACACTTCCATAAAGGTTCTAGTAGCCAAGGACACGTAAATTAACTAGAACTTTATAACATTCTTAGAATATTTCTACTTGCGAACCATTTGTCCACTCGAATTATGTTCCTAAGAGGTGTACTCTTTCCGAACCAGTTATCATGCGAATTATATATATAAAATATTTCATATTATGAAGCATTTATCCGTTCGAATTATGTTTGCAAAGTACTTATGAACCAGTTGTCTATCTGAATCATGTTCGTAAACTTCGTTAAAGGATGGAAACACTAGATTATTTAAACGACTTTACTAATATATCTATCTGTGGCAGAATAATTTGAATTTTTGTTATTATTTCAAATGTACGAACACAAGGGAATGGGACTTTCAAATCTTCGCAACATGCGTATTTAATTGAAATAAAGAGTTCAGACTTTTTCATAAATAATATGTTTTCGTTTCATCCATGGGGCCCAACAGCGGCCGAGCGGTAAAGTCGCTGAACATTGGTAGTTCGGTTCGAGGTTCGAATCCCGCGAACGGGCTGGCTGCATGGGCGTTTTCGTGGTTTTCCCCATTTGTAACGAGTCAGTTTTCCTTAGAAAGTCCTCCACGAAGGCATCCCTCTCCTTAGGGAGATAGCCCTAGTGTGCTTTGCCATAATTAAATAAACCAAACCATTTCATCCATGGAATGCAGAAAACACACGAAACTTACTATATTATGCCTCCAGCGTTAGGTATAATGGAAAATACGGCTCAAGAAAATTATAGGTTAAAATGGACTTTCACTTAGACGTATGCGCGAAGAGGAGAGGCAAGTAAGTTACAGTTATTTGAATACGGATATTAAGCAAACAGCGGACACTTGCCGAGTAAAATAAAGGACGCTTGTATATCGCTTCAGTAAGTTTATAACTGTGTCCCTTGAGTAGGCATTCACAAGCAAGAGGTTCTGGGCAAGCAAATGATATGAAATCGGCGTTTCCGAAGTGGCTACATAGCCAGTGAGTGAGACCACTTTCTTATGGGACTCAGACATTACTAAAACCCTGGCACTTTTACGGAATAATGGGAAGTATATTAAAAACGATTAAATGTTTTTAGTGCTAATAGTGCATATTTTGTTAATAAAAGTTTTTCTTTTTGTGGCAATATTGTACTATAGCAAATTTAACATGTAGTACATTTTTGTCAGTTTATGTTTTATGTTTTAAATAAAGGTTATTTTTCTAATTTTTCAGGTGGAATGCAAGAAGGCCCAGCCCAAGGAGGTGATGATGCCCAGTAATGTTGCGCGCGGACGGGGAGCAGGTAGGGCTACGTACGGTAGGTGGCGCTACTGGGCTGCTCTCTTCTCTCGTGCAGACTGGCGTCATTTATCCATTCTCCTCACCATCATCTCTTATATATCCACGACCTTCGAAAATGTTTTCATTCTTTCTGTCTTTCTATCTATCTGTGCACTTTACTCTGTTTTCTTTCTCAATCTGTGGCATGGCTGATGAGTGTTTTGTGTGTAATGATGCAGAATGATAAACAAATCTCCCTTGTCATAGTGCAAACTTTTGTTAAAGCATACTACAAATTAGTCGTAACATAAAATTCTCATGAGATGCGGCTCACTAAATTTATTGAAACACTCCGGCCTTTCAGTGAAAGCTAATGCAGAAACTTTTTCTCAAGTCATGCAGGAATGTAATTTAAATTTTTCGAAAATAATAATTTTCCAGGCTTCCCCTTCTCCAAAATAAATTATAACTTCTACAACAAAACCATTTTCTGTTACTTTGCGACTGTAAACTTATAGAGTTTTGGCAATCTATGGTAGCATAAAGTCCAAACAGACTTGGAGCGATTTATCGCTTCGTCTGAAAAGAACTACTAGAAAGAAAGAAGAAAAGTCTTAAGATTTTGAAACAAACTTTTCTATTAAATCAGAACTGGGACATAAATGCACGTCTCGTGCTTAACAAATCACCCTACCACTTACGCCACAACTCTGGCGATATAACTTAAAATAACAGTCAATTTCAAAATCCAAGTCTAGTAGCCAGGGGCTACACATTTGATTTACGCGAAGTTGGCTAGAACTTCTCACCGCCATAGCAATTTAAATGTCGGCAACTATAATGCAAAGAATACGATCTTATTTGAGCGAGCAGAAATCTAGTAACGTGCTCTCGAGAAGGAGAAACACAATTGACGTACAGTCCAAAAATCTCAGCTTAAATACTCTGAATCTAAATTTGCTTTCTGGAAGAGAAATGGAAGGGAGAAGGGATAGTAAAGATCTAAATCGTAATGATTGATTAAATCAACATAATGGAACATTACAAACTAAGAACAATAAAATAATGAAATAAGACTTATTCTTTCAAATAACTTTCTTTCACTTTTTATGCATATTATTCCACGTCTAATTTGTAATAGTTTCGAGACGCTACGCTTTTAAAGCTTTGGAATGCAAGTTTTCTTCATAAGTTATTCATTCGGGTAAGAATTTCACAAACTATGTAGAAAATTCTACTTTTTCCCCACGCAGTAAATGTTTAAATGTGTAATCTGCATATTATTTTTTCTGTGTTTTTTTTTTCACGTACCAGAAGTAAAAGGAACTAAATCCCATGCTCACTTCATAAATAAAGCCATTGTTTATGAGAATACAAAAAGGAAAACAATGAAATGAGGAAAATGGCAGTGGCATATAAACGTTTTATGGTTAATATAATAACCTAGCATCTATAATTAAGACACAAATTTGTTGTTTGACTTCTATAACTTAGAGAAGAACGGCTGTGAACAGCACATACCAGGTCTCTTCCCCTTTTTCTTAAACAAAGAGGGAAAATGAACTGCGATTCTTGCTGCCCTTGGAGAAAATTCTCTTTATTTCCATCAAAACAATGTTCTTGAAGTGTTGATTTTCCCTATTTTAGTCTCTATACTTTCTTTTCTTTTCTTTCTTTCCTTCTCTCTCTTTCTCTCTCTCTTTTTCCCCCGGTGGTAAATATAATCATTTAAAAATGAAGTCATTTGCACACTTGTATGTTATTGCAAATAATGCAGAAAAAAAAGTTATTTGTTGGAAATGGACCAATCGGAAATAAGAGAAACTCGTCCTTTTAAGCATATTAAATATATTAATGTCCCGGAATTAATGGTATAATCATCTCGACTGTGACTTATGTGATTTATGATATTAGTGGAGAAAAATTAAGTAGTTTCAGAGATAATTCGAAAAGCTGCATTTCGGCACAAACTTTTCTTATTAAAATATCATAGCAATTATGTTTTGAATTTATTGAAATGATTGCAGTGTAAAAATAGTGTAAAAATATAATTGAATATAAGATAGAAGTTTGCCAGACAAACATTTCTTACGTAAACTAAAAAATAATCTCGACGAAAAAAATTGTAGTCAAAGGTACAAAACAAATTTTAAGATATCGGAGCAGTTTAAAATGATTTTTATTAATAAAAACCGAAATTCTTTGTGACTTTGGGTGTCGAAATTTGAAATGAAAGACTAAAATTTGTGTTAAATCAAATTTTATGAAGGTTTAATTATACTAGGCTTTATGTAAAGATGTTTAAGATGCAGTTATAAAAAAAATTAATTGCAGAGTTTTCAATGAGTTAAGAAATCTTGAAGTTAGGTATACATATATAATATATAATATCCATTCTACATCATTACATCATTATAATAGTAATGTTGAAGTAATATTATAACAGAAATGTTGAAGTATGTGTCATCCTCATGCATCATCATTGCATTATATTCTATAATACGTATGCTACGTTTCATTGGCGCTCAGTTTCAGAAAGTAATCCAAAATCTGTACATAAGTCTCTAATATTCGATAAGAAGCGTAAGCTGAATTTAATGTGCAAGCATTTTAATGTAAGAAAATAGAAAATTATTCTGACATCAATAGCATTAATCATTTATTTTCAACTTAGACCGGCGAAACTATTTCCTTCTTATTTCTCTGTGTTATTTTGGGTTCTGGTATATGTGGCATCTTCATTATCTTTTGTAAGCTCAGATACTTTATAGACGCTTACAGTCAACTATTTCTGATGACAACAATTCAATTCGAATGTGACAATTAAACTGGTATTGCCAGAAATGTAAACTAGGTTGGTTGGTGTCGTGTACTTTTAGAAGTCAAATGGATCCATGCGTTGAAATCACTGCTTTTGCAAGTTCCACAATCTTTTCATTATACAACTCTCGCTGGAAAGGAAATCCCCCCAAGTTTTGCAGAGCTACAAGTATTACCGGACAGGTGAAGATGTGTTCTGGAGAAAGCTCCTTTTCGGTGCAGTTTCTACAAGTTCTATATAGTTTGGTACCATCTTCATTAATTTTCATTCTTCTAAAATGGCAGGTTCTCAATCTAGTAATGGTCTAGTATGGTGATTTCTCTGTTTCATCTTTGTGATTTCTCTGATCAATCTCACATATCTGATGATCTTTCTTAATAGATTTCTCTTTGAGTGTATATCTGGCAATGGGGTTAGTAAGAGTGACGGGGATTGAGTTGTTGGAGATTACTTTCCTTTTTAGCCAGTTCATCGGTTCATTAGCCAGTTCAATCATAACATTGTTTCCATCGAATCCAATGTTTGCAGGTATCCATTGCATAATGCATTTCTTTCCCATCTGGTTGATTGTTTCTTGGTGTTGGTGTACATCGGTGAGTCTTGAATGTCCTTGCAATATTGCCTCTAGGGAAGCCTTAGAGTCACAGTAAATTACAAGTCCGCTGGCTTTATCATTATAATTTAAGTCGATGTTAATTCTCAGTGCCTCCTGGATTGCTCTTAATTCACATGTGAAGTTGGAAGTGACGTTGCCTGCTCTATGTCTTTGCAGCATAGTTTTCCTATTTGGTAGAAGGATGTGAATACCGGCTCCATCCTGTTGGATAGTCTCACCTGATGAACTCTATGTGTAAAGGTTTACCAAATTATCTCCCAAAAAGGACTCAGTTGTTCGAGTACCTTTTGCCATTATAACAGCTTCAGTTTCCTTTTATGTACAATGTTCCACCACATTGAGATTTATTTTGGTATTAATGGGGATGTAAGAGGGCAGGTTAGGCTCTTGAAGGACAATGTAGATGTCACATAGAGAGCAACATTTTCTCTGATCTTATATTTCAGAGTAGATGACCTCTTGATATTGACCTGTCGTTCCAGTTTCCAAAGGTCCTTCTGGAGATGTGCCTCATGTCTCAGCTCATGGCTTTGTTTATAAACCTGAGTGTAAGATATTTCCTTCTTTGTAAAAGGGTCGAAAGTCCGCTCTCCTGTTATGCCTTGAAGTTGCTAGTAGATGAACCAGCTCCAGATATTATTTTGGTTGCTCTTTTGTGTATCTTATCAGGTTTCTCCAATGTGGTCTCAGAAGCATGTACCCAAATAGGTGCTGCATATTCAAGGTTTGGTCTTATAAACGCAACGTAAGACGATCTTAGTGCTTTCGGAGTGGTCCCCCAATCCGTGCTACATAAGCTTTTCAGAACTCGAAGTTACTTTAGTGCTTTGTTGGAGCAGTTTTACAAATGTGTAGTGAAGCGTAGTTCAGCATCTAAGGTCACGTCCAGATATTTTAGGTTATCCGCCATAGTAATTGGCAAGCCATCCATTAATATGGTAGGTTGAAAAGATTTTCGGCGTTTTCGATCTGTGAAGAAAATTGTGTAGCTTGTTTTGAAAGAGTTTATCTTTAATTTTAGCTCTCTCGAGCAAGCCAGAATGTCTCCAAGGGATTGGTTTAATGATCTCTCAGATTTTGCCAGTATAAGGAAATTGAAAATTTTAGGAAGTCAAAGCGAAAATTTCAAGAAGTAATTGATATTTTTCTGGAATTGTTACAAGATAAATAACAATCACAGGTAGACTATCATCGAGCTTACATCAGCCAAAGGGAAGAGGATTGGTTACCTTAAATATTATTTGAAGATAGTCACAGGAAATATGTTCCCGAAGTACTACCTAAAGATCAATAAGTATAATTTCTGTATGGTGAAGATATATGTAACCAATTGTCAGTTATTTCATATTATGTTAGTTAATTTGCCTGATTACATCATTCAGTTTGTAACTGTTACTACTACAGCTGTAACTAACAAGAGTAGAGACGCTTAGTTTCCCGCAAAGAATCACAATTTCTTTTAAGCAATATTTTTATCCTACATTCAGTTAGCTGTAGACAGGAATTGGTCACATACTCTTGTAACAGCTGAATTGCTACCGTTTTGATATTATGATAAATTCACGTCACACTGTTTTTTCCACTATGGATGGGTGGATAG